ATATCCTTATTGAACTATACTTATGAAACGTTTATGTGTTCATTACTTTAATCTTGCTTCTCATCTAATAAAAGGGCATCAATTTTGATTTACCATGTTTACTTCCTGGTTTTGGATTGCAATTGAAATAATAATAACGTTTGTACATTCAGTTTTTATTTATCATATATAAGGAACATTGTCCACTGCCAATCTCTGTTCTTTTAAATCAAGGCCGAACAGTCCTCTGTTTGCCTCAGCCCTTTACTAAATCAATAGTACTTAGTTTCTTCTTCTTGCACTTACTGCACATTCACTGCCTTTTAATGTATTTTAGCCTTTTTAGCTTTGAGCTCTTAAATGACTGTTTTAAATGTTATCTAAATGTGTCTTTGTGGTGTGTTATATACAAAGACTTGCCATATGCTTCTTGAGTTTAAGAGCTGTGTTTTATTTCCTCTCCATTTAGTTATTAGCATTTAATCATAATTAAATCTGTCTTCAATGAGTTGGATGTGTATAGTTTTTGTAAAATGTGACCGCAGAGACAGGAAACAGTGACAAAGTGCATAGAAAGGCCTACGTGTGAGAAGGCAGATTTGATATGCTATAGATAGCTTTACTTATTGGCTGCTCTCCATCTTGAATGATTTTGTCAGTGGATGTTCAAACAAAACGCAATTTGCTGACTTTTACGAGAAGGTTTGGTCTGTTACATATTTACAGTGAGTTTAATGATTAATTTTTCTCTCCCCCACGCAGTCTTAAGCCGCTCTCATTCAGGAGTCTGCCATTACTAAGGGACCGACTTCTGCCTCAGCCTGCTCACTTCTGTCTCTCCTCTTCACCCACTACCTGCTTTTACCCTATACCGTTTCTATGTGTGTCTTGCTTTTCCTCACACTTTCACCTGATGTTTTTCATTCTTATTTCCCTTTTTCTGACTTCCTATTTAGAATGAATGACTGAAATGAGCCTTACTGGGTGAGTATGAACCTTTTGTGTACATTTAAATGTGGCTAATCAACTGAGAATTAGAAATCAAAGAAACTTTTCAATGTATTCACTTTATATTTTATTGATGGGGCATAACTATACCACAGTTGTAATGTGTGTTTACAGCAAGAACATTTTGTAATTTTGTATTGAATATTATCTGTGCATCCACTCCTGAAACCTAAGCATTACTTTCTTCTGCTTAGTAACATTTCAATCACAGATCATCCTTTAAGCAACATTTCTGTCTCATTTGAAGGGAAGTAAGTGGTTATAAAGACAGATGCAAAATGGTTATTAAGGGAATTCTATGAATGAGTGAAAAATGAATGAAACTGCAGATGCTTTCCTGATTTATTAGTTGCCAGGCAACGTGCATAGTGGGTTTAATTGATATATTCATAAACAATTATAACTGTTTTCCACAGGAATCCTAAAATGGATATAATATGATCTGTTCAGGATATAGAAGGTTATTTGACCTGAAATATACTCCTGTCTAAAGAGTACCAGTGAAGGTGTCTATTTTAGTGTTGAGGTCAACCATGCATCTCAAAAGTCTTTCTTAAAAATGTTATATTTATTCTCAAATATGATTTTCTGTCACAAAACTGACCAGATGATACGTTTTTTGCAGACTTAATCATTAACACATTCATTCTTATTTTAGCGCAGAGATTCACAATACTGATTCTCCACTTTCACGGTGTAATTATATGGTAAAAATATATATCTGGGTGGGCAAAGTCCAAGGAGACAACAGGGGTGAAGGTCTCTTCAGTCTACCCTTAAATTGCTTTATGGCCATGTTTTTCAAGGAAGGAGAGGTTTAAGGGTCAAAGCTCAGCCTGGATAAAGTAGGGGATAGTATGGGATGGGATGAGGTTTACACAAGATGCACACTCGTGTTTATTACTTATGTTAGAAGCCATATCAAAGCCTGTGTGTAAAATATTAATTTTGATGGTCTAAAGGCCAAGATATATTTGCTGGAAAAGCACTTCCTCCTGAGTCCTATCTCACTTTCATTGAGTGACTGACCCTGATTTTATTGGTGTCATAAGGGTATCATGTTTTAAAGAAGCAGTAAAACCCAAGATCAGAAGATGTAAGACTATGTTGGATTATATTTTACAAACCTTTTTATTAGGTGTGGGTGGAATTATCACAAGGGCTCAGATAAAAATATGCAGTAAAATGATTTGATTTCATGTAGTTGTTGGAGCCCGACCAAAAGAGGGCAGCATTATTTCACATGTCAAACGTTATCACACAGGAGCCATGGAGTTCACATTTGTAGTATTGTCAAGTTCTTAACTTTGAAACGTTATTGGGATCTGGCAGTTTTAAGGTATTGGGACAATTATACTCTATATCTATAACAAAGAGGGGCATGTTTAATAGTTTTTTTTTTGTTGGGGCGTGGCTTTTTATTTAAGATAAGATAAGCTTTATTATCTGTCACAAAGAAAAAAATCTCCTTTGACATGACTCAACATCGAACAAACAATTAACATTTAAAACACATTTGAAAACCATACATCAAATGAGAACAAACACTAATAAAACTTCACTTGACAAGAACAATACAATCAATAAATTACAATACATTTTTCCTTTTCCATACATTTGTCTTTTTTTACAAAACAGAACATTTCCTGACCTAGGACCTCAAAAGAAAGAAACAGACGTTTACAAAAGGAGGGCATTTGCAGCAAAGCAAGGTCAGTTACTGCAGATAAAGATAACAAAAGCATTTTCAGTGATACTTTGTTATAATAACACCGTTTTGTTATAACAACCCATCCCACTAGGAACAGTGAAACACAAGTCCATCTTTGTCTAAAAGGGTCCATTTCACTTGTGAGTCACAGTCATTTGTTCCATCATGTAAACCTGTTTTAGTCTTTGGACCCACTGAGGTGGTTCAATGTATATTTTAATTGTCAAATGAACATAATCACATAAAGGAAAATGTTTTATTTTTTTAAATCACACCCTATGATATTTCCAAACACTTGGTGTTACTACCACCTTTTTTCTAATTTTTCTAGAGGAAACTATACAACCAACAATGTCATGAAATAAATACCACCTCCATGTTCTCATGCTCCGTCAGCTATGCCTTGTCTGTGGGTCTCACCAGCTGTAACAGCATCTCCATATGGAAAAACTCTGGCTTCCAGTGGAGCTGCTGTTATCTGTGGTGGGACACCTCTTGTCATCGAAAAAAAAGAAGGTGCTGGGACTCTCTGTAGCTTACAGTTCACACATCTGACTTTCAAAGTCAAAATGGTTTGTGTACAGGAACACCTTCTTTTTGAAGTTTTTGAATGATGTGCCACTTTGATGCTTTTTTATGTACAGGTTGCTCTTCACAATAAAGTTGATGCCTTAAATCCTGTTAAACTGTCTTTCTTTTCTGTTTCTGTGTGCCGTTTGAAAAGATAAAAACATGTGATCATCATGTGTTATCGTGTGTGTGTGTGTGTGTCAGGGGCGCCGTACGGGGGTGAAATGTTAGGGCGATTCTAAGGGCCCGTGACTGACAGGGGCCCAAACAATTTTAGAACATTAAGAAAAAAATGTTTAAGTAACCAATGTGATATCTTTTCATGGGGCCCAAAATCCCTCGCGGCGCCCCTGCTGTGTGTGTGTGTGTGTGTGTGTGTGTGTGTGTGTGTGTGTGTGTGTGTGTGTGTGTGTGTGTGTGTGTGTGTGTGTGTGTGTGTGTGTGTGTGTGTGTGTGTGTGTGTGTGTGTGTGTTTGTGAAATTGATATATGAATACAAATACATAAACACACAAGGCACTATATCTATAAATTGTAAACATTTCACTCTATTAGCGGCAAAGAACAGCTCAAAGTGTGGTGTTAGAAAGTCGAACAGAAACTAGTAAGGTTCAAAATACACATCCCCCAATCCAACAAATCCACTATATTAACTGAAGTGAAAGCAGTGTGGCGTGAAAGCAGTGTGGCATCGTTGTGCTACATGTGTTTGCTATAAGAAATGACCACGTGAAACCAAAACCACATTTGAATATTTAAACAACATTTCTTGTTGAAGGGTAAAAAGAGGTACTGAATACAATTCACTGACATGAATAGGCTGAAGGTCAAGCCATAACTTCACAGACATAAAAAAACAAAAACATTTTGACATTTATTTAAGGGTAGACATTTTTTTGGGAGAGGATGTTTGGGTTTAAACAACTTCATTAGTTAATAATTATTGATATTATTATAATAAAGCGTTAATTCACATATGTTATTTGGTTGATACCACAAAAACCACAAAAGGTTGAACGAATGTAGTGTTAAAAATACACAACTATAGAAAAATACACACAATATTACAATAAAAACAACACTTTTTTAAAAGTGTGTGGTTTTATTATTGTACGTTTTATTCTTGCTAATTATTTATTGTCTTTTATATGTGAAGACACTTGGGCCCAATGTTATTGTAAAAGGTGAGGAATATTGCAAACCCAAACAATCCTGATAAATGGTGTTATCACAAGTTTGAGGCAAGGTCCATTCATATTATAAAGTGTGTCAGATACTGAACTAGGTGTAACCGATGAGGCTTTTATTGTGAAAGGTGTGCATTTCCGGTATCCTTGTGCCAGCCTTCTTTGGGGGTTCACTAACCCACTAACTGACAGCCGGTTGCTAAGCGAGTTAGCTAAACGCTAAGAGCAGCTGTGTCGTTTACACCGCCACAGTTCTGTTATATCAGACAACATATAGCTTAATATAGCTAATTTACTGAGTATTTGTGGCTAGTGTAATTGGCTATCCTGAATTAGCCAACGTCAGCTGAAGGAGGCAGTCCTCGCAGTGCGTGGCTAGCTAGCAGAGAGGAGGGTGGGGACAAAAACTTCAAGACCTCGCCCAGCCACCGCTTCATTCCAGCAGGCAGCTACTCTCCGGACGGTGTGAGAGATACACACCACTAAACCAGATATTCGAAGGGGAGACCGGCACAGTTGTGTCAACTAAAACAAAAGCTAGACATCATGTTTAGAAAGAACTTGAAGAAGGACCCGGAGCTGTTTCAGAACGTGTCGGAGGGGCTGAAGCGGCTCTACCGGAATAAGCTGTTCCCGCTGGAGGACACGTATCGGTTCCACGACTTCCACTCCCCGGCGCTCGAAGATGCCGACTTCGACAACAAGCCCATGGTCCTCCTGGTGGGTCAGTACTCCACCGGAAAGACCACCTTTATCCGGCATCTCATGGAGCAGGACTTCCCTGGTATGCGGATTGGCCCGGAGCCGACTACGGACTCTTTCATCGCGGTGATGCACGGCGAGCAGGACGGGGTGATCCCGGGTAATGCTCTGGTGGTCGACCCCAAGAAGCCCTTCCGCAAACTCAACGCCTTTGGCAACGCGTTTCTTAACAGGTATAGTCCACAGACCACATTAGAGAGTTATTAGGCAATGTTATCAAAGCTGGTAAAGGTGCAGCTAGTTTTAATGACTTTGTATACTGCAGGGTAGCTTGTGAATGTACTCCAGGTAACTAAAGTCTGATTTAAGTGTTGTTTATATTTCACATCATTAATCCAAATCTGTAAAGTAACTAAAGGTATAGTGGAGTAAAAGTACACCATTTACCTCTGAATTGTAGTGGAGTAGAAGTACAAAGTAGCAAAACATTTCCCTCAAACTTGTACTTATCTACAGTACTTGAGTAAATGTACTTAGTTACTTTACACCACTGGAACTGAGCAGTTGGAGCCCTACGTTTATTTATCCACTTGTGATTGAAATGAATAGGTTGTGTCTGTCTTTAAATATCATGTGTTAATACAGCTGTTTGTCAAGAACTGTGTCATAACAGAAGAGGATTTAAATGCCCCCTCTGCATGTCCCTACATGCAGCACACAGGTACATTCACAGAATGCTGTTGCACATTATTCCCAGCAGTGTCAGAGCCAAGTGTGTGTGAGAGTTCGCCCTCTTTCATCCTCCTGAGAAAATGCGGTTGTTTAGTGTCAATAGCAACGTGTAAACCCCTCTGTGTATGGCAAAGCAAGTGACAGCAAGGTGCTTTCCAACATCTGATCCCATTGATAATTGAAGTCCTTTCACTTTGGACCACGTCTTGCCAGTTAGCATTCACCTTGCCCTACTTCATACTTATTTGTATTTAAAGCTCCTGGCGTGGACACTGCTGACTTTTTTATTTTGTATACCAAAACTTGCACAACCAAACCAGGACTGAACAATAAATGTTATTGATCTGGCAATATCAAATGCAACATCTAATTTGTATGTGGCATAATATTTGGTATCGTAAAAATATGTACCATTCTGAATGAAGTGTTGTGGTGTTAAAGAGATGTCCTAGATGGCCTTCAAATCATATTATACAGGTAAAACAATGTGTTTTGTACATAACCTTGAAAAAACCACGATCATTTAAACATTTTTCAAATAAAATAATAAATATGCAATAAGGATAGGTCACTACAATATGGTAAGTCATATCTCAGAAGCAACATCTGTCAAAAAAATCCCTAATCCAGACCATATTTACTAGGTTTTGGACGGTACAACATGTCAAAGATGGGGGGAATAAGATTCCAAGCACTGGCTAATGCTCCCATGAACATAGATTTAAATATGTAGTTTTGGTGGAAGTTAAATGTTCATGGGAGCATTATTTAGTAAGCTGGCTCTATTTTCTCTTTCTTTACGCAACATATCATTTTGTCCCACATGGCCTCTTGAACTTACTGTAGAAATAGTTGTTAGTGTTGTTAGGCAACATGCTGACCTTGTCCTGCCCTCGGATGTAGGTGCCATAAGCCCCTTACCCCTCGGTCATATAAGTGTTAACTCATCAGTGGAGGCCGACGAGCCAACTCCCTATTTCACTACACCTGTCTGGAGGCGATATGAAACCTTATCACAAAGGTTTAAAGGTTTTTGTGAGACTGTGTTGTAGTATTGTTTCATTGAGTCAGCAGGTTTTACACTAGGACATTCAGCTAATCGGAGGTTGATCCACATTACCCAGAGATCCGGAGGGAACCTCCTTCTCAAAGTTTTATGAATCACTCAGTGAACCTTAGGCCTAGTATTCAGCATGATGGCAAAGTCTGAAAAAAACGTCCTCTTGGCAAGATCTCACATGACTCACAAGTATTGCACAGGTTGAGTTTTCACTGATTAATGCAAGATGAGAATTACACAGAGAGAAAACGTGCAAGGTGGGAATGCAGAAGTTGGCAGAGCCAGTGTGACGATGTTTAGTGAAAACATCTTAATCCAATCTATTGTGGGTGGATTTCAGATGACATCAGAGGGCTGACATCCAAATGTTGATGTTGTCACTTCCTGTAAAGGATGTGGGTATATCCCCTCTCTACAGGTCCAGTGGCCAGAGTGGTGGTGTCACCCTATACAGGAAAAGCCAGCAAAACCGATCAACAAATAATACATTAATGACTAATTTGTGGACACTTGACATTCATGATCTTGATCTGTTATTATGTTCAGGTTATCAGGTGGATTGAGTGGCAATATATTGTATTAGTACTAGGACTACATTTGACAATTCCCCAGGCCTATTTACTGTTATCCGTCGGGATCCCTTCCCTCAATTGTGTGAGAGTGTTTGCTTTATCTTTCATGAGTGAAAGCTTCTGCCAAAAAGAATCAGTCAAACTTAGAAAAGTGAAGTCATGCATTTCAGATAACACGCTCAAAAGAGAGGGGGTGTCAGACCTCAAAGATTCACCTCTGGAGTTTATTACCGACTTGAGGGGAAACCAGATAAGATTTTTGTATAAACAAAGGCTATTGTCCGTTGTAGCTTCATTTGTCAAACTGTTGGAAACAATCCTCTGATATCATGTGACTTGTGGTTCTCTTTGAATTCAGGCTTGAGTGGTCATTCATTGGCTTAGGGAAAGCTCACATGATCATATGTGTAGGAGCCAGGAGTGATTTTGTAGTCATGTTAAGGTTTGTGGTAGGTTATATTTAGTATTTATTTTGTTTTTGTTTGTGATACTTCAATGTATTTCGGTATGCAAAATAATGGGGAAAGTTGGGCCCCATTGAGCTATGACCATGACACTCATAGCTGATAAAGGTACCTGTTCATGTTATACTAAGTACAATCAAGATCAAACTCTTGGATACTTTTAGTTTGTTTTCTGAAATCTCTGTTTGAACAGCACGGTGTATGTGTAGGCCTTAAACTAAAGTAATCAGGTGTGTAGGCAACTAGCCCAGAGCAAGCCTAAAAACGTCTTCAGGAACCAGTTCCAGACAAACATTTGGAGCTCGGCTGCTCCTGGCTCAGACTAGGCCACTTTTTCACTTTCCTTTGAGGAGGCCAAAAGTATCTGAGTTGGCTTTCCGCTGTTGGTTGACTGAATGTGTTTTTCTCATAGAAGTAGATGGATATAGATGTGAAAGATCCGATTTTGAGTTGACAGCTTTTGGTGAAGGGGAAAATAACATTTGCTCAGCGTGGTGCTCTTTAACTATAGTCATTCAACCTGCAGATTAGCCTTTAACTACCAGCCTCAGATAGGATTTACCCCCTCAATATAATCAGTTATTTATGCAGAGAGTAAACAGAAATCAGTATTTGGATGTGATCCACACATCTACAATTTACTCTTGGATTTGGCAAACCCAAAATATAGTGTCTGGTGTTCTCTTCTAGCTTGCACATTTTTACAGCTTTACTATTATTTACATTTCAGAGCAGTCTGGTTTCAGACTGTGTCATGTTGCACTGAATCTGAAATGTTTCTGTAAAAGTAACTGCACATAATCCTGAACACTTTTTCTTGCTTCTTTTTAACTTAAATACCGCTGCAGTCAGAGGGTCTCAGTGTGTTTGTGCTCTGTGTGAACATTAGTCAGTTAAGCCCGAGTCAGCAGAGCTTAAGTTCCGCACCGGGCCACCCCGTCCCGCACTGTCCCGCTCCGTCCTGTCCTCCTCATGGCCTCCTCACTCCCGGACACTGACTCTGCACTTTTCTCAGAGGAGGTTACACAGGCACATCTTTACATACAAATTCACATGTGCGGTAGGTATTGGTATCTGATGAATAGATCATTTATTTTCAAACACAACAACATTTTAAAGTAAGCAAAAATGGAAAAGTAACACAGTTGTTACCTCCCTGTCCACATCCCTAGTGCTAGCCACAGCGCTCTGTTTCCTCTTCTGTACGGGAAGTTGAGGTTACAATGTGAAGGTCAGGAGGTGGGGACTGAGAGGAAGACCCTCTTTCATCAGCTGGGGCCAGACCCCCAAATCACATGAGAGTATTGACCCAGGTTTACGGTTCACGCCAGTGCCACAACCTCACAGAGGGGATGGGTTTCTCACTTACTCGAGACATCATCAAACAGTGAGGAATCTCGGAGAGCTCGAGTCTCTCGGGTCCTCTGGTGCCTGGTAGTGTCTTCTGCTTTGAAGAATTCCAGCTCAAATTCATCGGAGCATTTTTTCCCTACTCTATGTGGAAAATGTCGGGATGGATAGTTAAATGGAAAACATGAGCCAAAATTCCTACTGGATATCATACGCCATTAGCTATGAGAGGGAATGGAAAAACCTGCATATTTGTTATCTTTGGCTGTCACTGCTATTGTAATGTAATAGCATGCTTAGGATCTCTTTGCAAGAAGCCCCTCTCTCATATTTCTTTGACTTGTTCTTTGTCTTTGGTTTTTCCTTTCTCCTCCCTACGTGTGGTATGGAGTGTGTGTGTTTCTGCGCTCAGTGTGGTTGCAGCAGGAATGTAAAAGCACGGTTCTCCCGGTCTTATGACCCGGTGCCTCTGAGCTCATGTTGTGAGTATCGGTTCAGTTTGAGTAGAAGATCAGCAGAGCAAGAAGTAGTCTAAACCGTGGGGTGTTTTTAACAATCCACTTCTTTGTCCTGAGTGGGAAACCATTGTTTTATGTAAAACCACTCATCCTGTCACGTTTCATAGTGTGCGTATCTGTCTGTGTGAGTGTGTGTGCCTTGGTTTGATTTCTGTTGAAGAGCAACACTCCCCTTTAATGTTTAAACCCCAGTGCTTAAAGGAGACCATTGTGTAGTGACTAATGTTACATTAGCAATGACTCAGGCATACAATTCATATCTTACTATGAATTGTACTAGTGTTTCCCTAACATTCCTACATTAATGGTTACCTCCTACAACCCCCCCCACCACTGTTTGGAAAATCTGAATCACGTAGTCCCAGAAAACTACACCCAAAGATCTAAAGTGTCAACTGGAGCTGACACAATAAATCTATTAGTCAAACAACAGAAAGAATTTGGCCAGCCATTTTGATTAGATTCGTAATTCAAGTCATTTTTTGGAGCAAAAAATGCCACGTTTTTATTGATTCCAGCTTTTTAATTTTGAAGATTTGCTGCTTATCTTTGTCTTATCTTTGACATACTCAATGATTTATCATCCAGAAATGAATTGATGATGAATCATATACATTCTATTGTAGGTTGCAGCCCTAGTATCAAGATAAAATCAACCCACTATTATTAACCTATTCTATTAAAATGAACACTTTTGAACTGCAGGGAATATGCTGAGGCAGCACCCTGACCTCTCCTTACCACCTACAGCTACTTTTGTTTGTCACCTGTGAATGTTTTAAAGCAACATTATTCCTCTTTTGTGATTGCCACAACACTTGACGGTTGATTCTGAAAGCCTAGCTTATCTTTAACTCATAGATAATAGAAAATAATAGGTGTGACATTATATCATAACTAACTTATTGTCAGCCTGCCAACATTGATTGAAAGCATGTTTTGTTCCCTTGGTGGTATAACAATCAAAATCCAACCAAGAGATTTGCTTTATTGCTTCTTTAATGAAAAGAGATATGGCACTTTCACCAAAGGTTTCAATTACAGCACATTTCAAACTGGACCCAGGTAAGATGGCTGCCATATGTTTTCATCTCAGAATGCCATTAGAAAAGTTCACTGCTATTGTTGAATACATATGGTATGCACACTCTCAGCGGACTGGTTTTTGACTTCTCTCCCACTCTCCCTCTATACCCCTATGCCTCATACTCGCGATCCTTTCTCTCTTCTGTCTTTACTTTCCTTCTCTGCACCCTGCACCCTGCAACCTCCCCTCTGCACCCTCCCCTCTCTCATGGCTGTGTTTTCTCCGCAGGTTCATGTGTGCGCAGATGCCTAACGCCGTCCTGGAGAGCATCAGTATCATCGATACCCCTGGAATCCTGTCGGGAGAGAAACAGAGAATAAGCAGAGGTCAGCTGATGTAAACACCCGCACTTTACTCCCTCTCACACTCACCCACTCCCTTTAACAGAGCCGCACCTTCCCTGCTCAGCAGCTCTGTAACACTGTAATGCCATACATGCAAAAATGAACCCACAGGAAGTCACGAGTTCAGATATGAAAAGGAAACATGCTTAAGCAACATACAAGCTTCCTTTCCTTAAGTCTCACTCTGGTATTTCTGTGTGGTATCAACTGTAGCAGTGTGGTTCATAGTGCCGTCAAACCCGTATTTAAATCTAAAACCCTCAGGTCACAGCCTAACCAAACAGGTCATGTAAATCTGATGGACGCATAGGGTAGCCAAGAGAAGCACTTTGAAGTTCATTTCCTGTCTGTACCTGTGGTTTTCTACAGCATCGTCCTTTTTCACATCCTTCCTTATTTTTTGTTTTTCTTTCTTTCTGTTCAGATTGGCACATAGCCAGGTTTATATTAAAAGATTAGCGACAATATGTGAAAAACATTTCCTCTATGCGGCTGTTTACCCCCTAAATGTGTCTTGTATCATTTATCACTTTATACCCGAGTCTTTTCCCTGTGCTGTGCGGGAATAAATACATTTATATCTTTATCCATTTGTCCATGTGCTGTGACCTACAGGGTCACTCCAGATTTGCCACATCCACAGTTTTACTTTTACTTTTGATGATCCGACAGAACTCGGGCCGCAGATAACAGCTGAACACAGCTTCTGCTTTCTCTACCTGGTTCAAGCCCCTTTAAGAGGAAGCACACATTCACACGTTTTTTGTGTACTCTAGGGAAAGGATGTGCAGTAAAAAGGCAAACATAGCAGAGAGTTTCCCAAGACCCCCTCCCACCACCTCCTCAGGGAGCTGTTACACTGTCGGAAATCTGCTCTTTATTATTGAGTTGGATTTCCCACGACACACGGCAAGAAAAAAATTGAGAACTATTCAAGAAGTAGAGCTAAAATGACAGTCACTATACAGAAAATGTGCAACTATTCAAGGAATGGATTCATAATATAAGGAATTTGTCAAGGAGAGATGCCAAACATTCTTTGGTTATAGCTTCTACCTTTGAGGATTAGCTACTTTTCTCTGCTCTTTACTATCAAGGGATTAATTGAGGTTTTCTGACTGTTGGTAGCACATACCAAGCTATTTAAAGACATTACTTTTGACCTTTTCTGAACATTCCTTTGGCCATTTTTCAGTGTTTTCTGACATTTCATTGATCAGTGTTTAACAATTTAATAGATTTAAATGATTGTCGGAATAATTGAAATTGTAAATAGCTAGTTGTAGCCCTTATAAGATGCAAAAGGGGAGACGGAAAGAGTACGGATGGTTGGCAAAGAGACACTGAAAGGCCAAACAAGCGACTGTAAACAGACGGTAGTAGTGCCATGATCTGATAAGCATCTGAAGGAAGTGTCTGCATGAATGAAATGCCGGCTCATGTCGAGCGAGGTGGCTCCATCTGGAAATCTGATAGCTCACACCTCAGTTTTGTTTCTATACATACATGTTTATACCTTCTTACTCTTGAAAACCAAGCATAAAAGACACACACTCCCTCTCACACACACATACATTATTCTCTGAACTGTTTTTATGTAAACAAAGATACAATGCTGTACTACACAGACACAATGTACTCACTGTAGGGCTGTGTGATTATGGCAAAAATCCTAATCACGATTATTTTGGTCAATAATTGATATCACGATTATTAAAAACGATTATCCATTTACTTTGAAAACATCCATTTATTGAAACAAATGTGAACAGTATGTTTTTAACAGTTGATTACCCTGAACTTTAAGTATAATTCAACTGAAAAACCAATAAAAAATTAAATTAAAAAAAATAATAATTACATTTCTTTTCTTTTTTTTAATAAAATAAAAAATCGTTTTATTTCGATTACGTTGTTTTCGTAATGGTTGCAAGCCAAAATCGTAATCGAGATTAAAATACGATTAATTGCACAGCCCTAACTCACTGTGTCACATATAAACAGGTCTGAGTTGGTTGTGCAGCTCAGGTGTGACGGTCAGGGTGTGTGTCACTTCAGACAGCTTTACAGCCAGAAAGAATATAATTGTGTTGTCAAGTCATGGATGGTTTTTATTTCACAATGCTTTAATTATGGATCCATTTTTGATTATGTCAGCAAATGTGGCTCAGAGTGTCTTCCTGAGTGAGCAGTGAAGTGACAAAAACTATAACGAAACTGTGATTTTACAGAACTGGTTGGCATCTTTCCCAGATGACTCAAAATAGTAAAAAGCCATTTAGCAAATTTAGCAGAATATGTTTGCACGTGAACTTAAACTTTTAAAACTTGTGGACATGACATATCCCTGTAGATTTGTTTAAGTAGAAGTTTGACATTTCTCCACGCTTAAGTTATTTCTCCACGCTGCTCATTCTCATGTCTTTAAACTAAATGGGAATCTACTGCAAATGATAAACCGAGCTGTTGAAACAACAAATTGTGTATTCACATGCCGGAATATTCCTTTTAGACCTGAAACTATTGGTTAATTGGTCAATTAGTTGATCAACAGAAAATTAACATCAATTATATTGATTATAGATTCATCGTTTAAGTCCTTTTGCTGAAAAAAAGCCATCAGCACCTTGTTTCACGAAAATGAAGATGGATATATTTCACTATTTCTTTTTTCTTGCATCCCTTTTGTTTTCAGGGTGCTGGTATGTGCATTTTGTTGATCCTGGACAGAACTGGGGTAGCCGTTTTTATGCTAAGCTAACCAGCACCTACCTGAAGATTTATATGTATCGTGCCGACATGCCATTAGTATCGATCTTATCGCCTGTCTTCCAGCAGGAAAGTAAATCGGTGTTTACCAAAATATCAAATAATTGATTTAACTATCCAGGACATTTATTTAGTAATAAGACTTTATTTTAAGATCTTTAGAAGACGAATAACTCCACAGCCTGGACTTCTTACCTCTCTGCTCTGTGATTGGCACATGATGATGAGGCATGTGGGAATCTGTCATCGGTGCATGAGTGTTCCCCTGCATGTCGACCCACATGGTAAAGACGCAGCAGTTGTCGATGCTATGTGCTATAAGTATGTTGAGGCTTGAACAGCTGTTTCTCTGTCTGATTCCCCGGCACTGTGTTAAAAACAGACTTGAGAGAGAATGAGCAAATGTCCTCGGCCTGCTCCCACAGGGATTGTGGACTTTAAATATTCCCCTTTTATCCCTCTGCTTTCACTTTCGTCAGACACAGCAAACTCATTTAGTCTAAGATCTATTCCTGTGTCAATCTTTTATTATATTCATGTTTCTCTATTACTCACCTCCATCTCCCCCTCTATCGCTCCTTTTTAGAAATGTAAAATATTGTCTCATTCTGTCCATCTGCTGTATCTCTGTCCGTCTGTCTTTTGTGTACACGTGCTGAGGCTCAGACAAAAGCCAGCTATGTTGGAATGCATGTGCAGCAGATCTAGATCTGATTGTGCAACAGCCGCGATGAGCTTTGAGAGCAACTGCATTCTTCTCTAATCAGATGACACACGGACGCTAATCAGAACCATAATTCTCTCTTCCTCACTTTCCCCTTTACTCCTCGAGGCTCAGGGAAAAAGTCCCCCTTGTATCATTCCACTTAGCCCCCTTGTTTCTCCAATAACCAAAGGAAGTGAAAAGCAAACTCATAACTGACACTGCATGGCGTTTTATCGTAACACTTGTATTTCCTCTCTCAGATCTTTGCTTCCTTTTTTTCTCATTGCAATCAAGCTTGTTTCTGGTAGGACACGTTGCTGAAACATTTCCCGGATAAAAAGTCATTTCATTCCACGTCGGATTTTCCAAATCAAACCGTCTTTTCCCTCATACGCCTTTCCTGCTCTCTCAGTATCGCTGGTTAATAGGTAACCAGGGGGAAACTGTCCTGCCTTTGAGAGCCCTTATTTAAACATGAATGGATCAACATTACTTGGAATATGAACGTAAAACCCATTTAAGCTGCCGACACACAATTGATTGACTTATTTATCTTGTATTTCTCCACTGCAGTATGCATGTTTACTATGTGTAAGCACAGTACTAGTGCAAGAATGTAACACATGCATTCAAACTGACATGAGAAGAAAACAAGGTAACGACAATCCATTAAAGTCAGTTCAGACTCAGAGCAGTGTGCAGCGTCCTTTTGACCTTTGTATATTCAGTGTTTATGAGTTTAGTGTTTATCAGTATAAAAAAGTAAATATGACTAAGAGAATGTATAGTAATATATGTTTACCAGAAAAGAGTGGGTTTTCATTTTCTGATTTTAATATCATTTGGATGTCTTATCTGTTGTCATGTTTTAATGTTCTGCATCAGCTAACGGGATCCTAATATAATCCTAAATCCGAGTAGGTGCAATACTGAAGGTCATCAGGGGTCACATCAGTGCTTGTGTCGATCCCGTCTTTAATCCGCTGCTCTCTCTCCTTCTCTCTCTCTCCAGGGTACGACTTTGCGGCGGTGCTGGAGTGGTTTGCAGAGCGCGTGGACCGCATCATCCTCCTGTTCGACGCCCACAAGCTGGACATCTCAGACGAGTTCTCCGAGGTGATCCGAGCCCTGAAGAACCACGAGGACAAAATGAGGGTGGTGCTGAACAAGGCCGACCAGATCAGCACTCAGCAGCTGATGAGGGTCTACGGAGCGCTGATGTGGTCTCTGGGAAAAATCATCAACACACCTGAGGTAAAAAAAAAAAAGAAATCTGCGTGTATATGTTTTTGTAATTCACAAATTCCTTTCAATGGAAAATGTTTTAATCTGAGTGGGATCTGAGACTTAAATGTTAATGTTTTAGGGAAACATTTTCTCTTGTAGATCAGTCTGGTCAGGTGACTTTCCCAATGATAGTGTCAGATTTAAGGAACATCATAGTGTTCTCAGTTTGTCACCGTAACAAAATACTTGTGCTACCTGATATCATGTGACCCGGCTTGTCTTATGATTTCTCTCTGACTGTGAAGTTAATGTTTGATCCGGGGCCATATTCATAAACCAGTCGCAGAGAAACCTTTGGATCATGTAGACAATTATTCATTGACTTTGAGAGTGCTGTGTTTTGTGAAGCTTCTCTACAGGACACATAAGATTTTCTTATTGCTTCACTTTGTACCTCACTCTCCTGAATTGCATTTTCACACATCCTGTATATCTATTTTCACTGTGTTTTATTTGGAGTGTACACATAAGAGCGTCTGGTTAAACCAGATGTCAGCGTCGATGTTTAACAGAACACTTGTGAAAGAATTTCCTCCCATGTGGGTGTGGGCAATATTGTGTATCCTGATGAACAGCAGAGATTAATGGAGGTTAACTTGAGCAACGTTCATTCCAGGTGGTGCGCGTGTACATCGGGTCGTTCTGGGCCCAGCCCCTGTTGGTGCCAGACAACAGGAAGTTGTTTGAGGCAGAGGAGCAGGATCTGTTCTTGGACATCCAGTCGTTGCCACGTAACGCAGCTCTGCGCAAACTCAATGACCTCATCAAACGAGCACGCCTCGCCAAGGTTAGTTAACAAGAGGCTTATTTCATGTCAATCCATCCGTTAGTTCAGGTCAGGACCAAAAGGGCTGCTTCCATCTCTAGCGTCCTGCTGCTAAAAAACACCCGACTTTAAAAGTTGCCTCAGTGAATCTTATTTTCACTTTCGTTCTTTCTCATTTTCTCATCACCACCCCCTCTCCTCAAACCCCACAAGAGGAGGAATTCACACAGAAAATCCTGTTGTATGCAACTCTGTCAGTGTTTAGTTTCTTTATTAACTAAAGGCAGAAGTAAGTGCAATGTTATGTCTTAATGTAGATTTCAGAACTTTTAAAGTCCCCCATGAAACACATGAAATACTCATTAGTCATGTTGCTTCAGCAGATACATGGGAAAAAAGACTACTGGTGTCAAACAACACAGTAAAGTCCAAACATTCAAGTGAAGTAAGATTTTGCAAAACATACTTTTTCAGTGACTTTGTATTGGTAGCCTCTGTCGATGTTCATTCTGTGACCTGGGATGTCCGGTTAAAACACTGAGACTCTGTTCCTTAACTCAGTTCATACAAAACCACAGTTTAATCATCACTGAAAATATGTCCTGTTCCTTCATGGTGTCCAGGTGCAGGCCTACATTATCAGCTCTCTGAAGAAGGACATGCCCAGTGTGTTTGGAAAGGAATCAAAGAAGAAGGAGTTGATTGCCAACCTGGGAGAGACCTACCATAGGATCGAGAAGGAGCACCAGATCTCACCCGGAGACTTCCCCAACCTCGCCAAGATGCAGGTAAGATTCAATAAAAGCCTGAGCTGTATCAATCAGAGTTACATATTTGAGGAAATCCCAGCTTTGAGTCTATTTCTGGCGTGTTGCATAACGCTTTATAAACAAACAGTTCAGAGTAGAATGACCTCCTGACCTTTACTCTCTTCACATCTTTGCCTTCTCTTTCCTGCCCTCTCCCGCCCGGATGGGCCAGGACGGGGGATGAGATTTATTTTTCCTGGTTTGTCAGGAAATCCTGCTTCTTGTATGCTACACACATAGGTAGCCATTGAAGACTGATCTATTTCCATCACCAATTCCTGTTTTCTCTCAACCCCCTCATCTCTGCAGGAGCTGCTGAACGCCCAGGACTTCACTAAGTTCGCACCGCTGAAGCCCAAGCTGCTGGAGGCGGTGGAGGACATGCTCGCCAACGACATCGCCCGTCTCATGGCCATGGTGCGCCAGGAAGAAGCCGCCATGCCCAGCCAGATCGTGAAAGGAGGAGCCTTCGAGGGAGTCATGACGGGGCCCTTCGGTCACGGCTACGGAGAGGGAGCCAGCGAAGGCATCGACGAGCTGGAGTGGGTGGTGGGTCGCGACAAGCCCACATACGACGAGATCTTCTACACCCTCTCTCCAATCAACGGCAAGGTGTCCGGCGCCGCAGCCAAGAAGGAGATGCTGAAGTCCAAGCTGCCCAACACGGTCCTGGGGAAGATCTGGAAGCTAGCCGACGTGGATAAAGATGGCCTCCTCGATGATGACGAGTTCGCCCTGGCCAACCATCTGATCAAGGTGAAGCTGGAGGGCCACGAGCTGCCCGCCGCGCTGCCTGAACATCTGATCCCTCCGTCCAAACGTGGCTCATCCCTCGAGGCCTAGAGGGGGAGGAGAAACAGGAGAAGGAGGAGGAGGAGGAGGAGGAGGAGGAGGAGGAAGGACAGCCTGGAGATCAGCCATGTCATCGCTCTTCATCGTGTTCAGAACTCTCCAAACACAAGCAGGCATCATCCTCCATCAAGCTGTGAGTCTCCAGGCACCAGGAGGACGTATAGCTGTGATCTTTTTCACCCAGAGAGAGACTGGAGGTGGGGAGGTCCATCTTTGTGCATTAGGGGATAATATTTAGGTATCTATTAGAATTAACTGGGGGTTGATTTGCAAACTGATGAAAGGACATTACCGGATCATGAACTAAGGATTGGATGTTGCATGATGGATTTGTAGATCCTGTGTAAAAGATGTCATCTTAAGTATACAGTCCATATTATTATATGTTGATCCAAAGAAATATCGTTTTTTTTTCCCATTTGGAGAGAGAAAGAGGAAATAAATCAAAACAGCTGTTTAGAATTGTTTTATCTATATTTTTGTATTTCCTGACTGTTAACTTTGACTCTTTCCAAATGCTTCCCTTTTTATTATTTTGCCAGATAAATAAAAAGGAATACTGTACCATCTGAGTCGCAGACGTATGCATTTTTATTGACTCGTTCTATGATACATTACATTGGAGTTCATCAGAAGACAATCTCACTGAAATCAGAATGAAACATTGAAAGGAAGAAGACAAAACCCAAACTATTGAAGCTTAAGCTGTAGTCATTTGTCATTGAGGAGATTGTCAAGGACAGTATCAGGCAAAGGTCACCCTGACACTGACTTTAATTCTGATAGTTTCAGTGTAGTGTACCGCCCTCTGTAGGACAGAAACAGTCATTATCCACACTGCCACAGGACATATAAGGCCATTTTCACATGACACAAGTTGCCTCTGACTGCATATCTTTAAAGGGCAAATTGAAACCAGTCGGGCAGGCAGACACTTGTGACTTTCTCTGGAGCATTTTCAGGGACACATGGAGACAATTTACAGTGCTGGAAAATTCAGTGCAGGCTCACACAGATGAGCACAAATCATAAACAGAAAGACAGGAAGCTGGAGCTTTATTAGTGTCATATGAAGAGACTGAAGGAGGCCTGTTTGCATAATCCAATATGGCGTATTTATAAGAAACTGAAATGTAAATGAGATGCACTGCAACATTATTTGAAGTTTATTTTCCATATGATTTTTTGTTACTCCAGAGAGCAGCAGCCAAGGCTTATCATCATGTAAACACACTTCTATACTGTATCTCTCACTGCAGGTTGTTTACATTTTTCACATTGGTGGCTTGTTTTCACATTCAGTCTAACTTCACCAGTCCACTTCTACAAAACACCAGTTATGTTTCATTTTCACTTTGCATTCAGAGTCTTCTCTCCCTCATCTGCATTACTCCTTTGAGACTCATTGAAATTCTGCACACTGATACACTAGATTGTCAGCCAGCGTCAGATACACGAGATGCTCACCAGCTGTTAGTTTTCACCATGATGGCAGCAGATTTCCTCTTTGATAAAGTCAACTGGTGCTCTCTTGTGTCTTGACAAGTTATTACAGGTAATTTGACATTTTGTTTGGTCATGCTCTTCCCTTTTAGTAATATTTGTATGGAACTTTTTAACACCATTAAACACATCCTTGTACATTCATATCATATATAACACAAGGCAAAATTGCTGCATTGATACAAAACAAAGAAGGGGCAGGGAGAAATTAAGAATACAAACTAGAATAAAAGAACCCAAAGTTTTATGACTCCAATCAGAGAAGATGTGTGCCATATATTTAAAAAAATAAATTAAATTCCTTTTGTTTTGGTTTCTTTCTGTCTAATAATGTGTTATGTACATTTTGGTTAAATGTTAATGCTTTTTCCACCTCACTGTACCCTGAAGTAGTATATGTAAACTTACAAGTGGTTGAAATATCTAAGGATTGGTGTTTTTAAAGTAAACTGATGCATTAAAGTACAGTCAAAATATTAATTTATCCTAACTTTTCAAAAGTTTCATTGTAAATCGTTAATAAAGGTCACTCTTGCATTTTCCCCACTGCTATCTGCATGGATGGATTGTTTAACAATCTTAGCGGGCACAGGCTGGGGGCCAACAGTGTCACATGGCCCACTGACCTTCACTTACCAAATGTGCCTCACATCTTGTAAAATGTGGAATGTGGAAACAAAACAGGCATGAACCATCCAGGGAGATACTCAGAATGACCACAAAGAATCATTAAACGACTACAAATAGGCACACAAAGACACCAAAACAGCTGCAAAAAAACACAAGACACCACAAAGACAATAAAAATAACTATGAAAATAGGAAAAACCACCACAAAACGACTTCTAAACAACTATAAATAGACTCAAAATGACTACAAAAATGGGCAACACAACCACAGACAACAATAATGACATAAATACCAAAACAACCACAAAAGAGGCTAAACAACTATGAAGTTTGTTATGCTCCTTTTTGTTGAGAGGTGTCAGGTCTTTTGCATGTCTTTTTTTCAGGGGGGCATTGTCTCATAATCCGCCCGTGGCTATTTGTATAATCTTGTGTAAATGTCCGCTGCAGAGTGTTGTGAGGAGCATCAGAACTGACAGCTTTTGATAGTTTACAGCCTGCCTCAGGGTTCCTCTTGTTCTGTTATGATTATATATCGTCAGAGAGCTGCTCAAATGCCCACAGGGGTGTGAAGTCACTGTTCGTCCCTGTGTGTTTGGTTAGCTGTCTCACCCCCCCAATGTATATCTCTCCCATACACTGTTTCCTTTTTCCTGTCTTCCTCTGTTAGCACGTCACTATCTTCCCCTTCCACCTCTTTTTTCCCATCTCTTCTTCCACATGTTTACAGAGAGCAGCTTTTCCCTGTTTTTCTGTTCTTTGTTTTACCCCCCTCTCTCCCTCTCTCTGGGTTTTGGGTCACTTCTATCTAAAAATACTCCCCCCGGCCCGCTGACACACTAACCCCTGCAGAAAGTTGACTGTTTCAGGCTTATGTAACACGGTCATGTGGAGGGAGTGCTGTTTCTCAGAGGCAGGTGAGGAATGAGGCACCTGTATGTGTGTGTACTGTAAATCTGAGCAAAAGTGCACAGTGAACTCCTAAAGGGTAACGCACAACTGTGATAAATGCAGTGGGGCCTTAATCACTTGAAAGCCCTCAGAGGTTATAAAACAATGTATTTTGTTATGCTTTCATTTAACATGAAGGATTAAACTGTTTCTCTGTGGCCTAAAACAAATCCTAAAACCCCTGAAGCTCCATGAAATGACCAAAACACATCTGGATTGCAAATTAAAAACAGAGCTGTCACCTAAGGAATTAACATTTTAAAATCGTTTTGAGTGTTAAAGGTGGGGTAGGTAATTTTGGAGAAACCAGCTCGAGTGTGCAAGAATTTGAAAATACACAGCCGGAAAAAATCTCCCACTTCCTTACAGAGTCCCCTCCTCCAACACACACGAACGCGCACATGACCAATGAGGGCACGAGATAAGTTTGTGCACAGATGGAAGGCTGACAGGCAGGTAGGCCATCCAGTTATTTTAGCCGGGCCGGCTAAAATGATTGGTCGTGCTTTTTACAGTACTACAGCTTCCACAGATGACATTTTTTTATGGATTTTTTGTCAAAGCACTTAAGATATTCCTTGCTATCGGGATGTTAAGAGCATTCCATGGAATATAACAAAAAGTGTATCTCGAGCCGGTTTCTCAAACTTACCCCACCTTTAATGAACAGTAAACAGTACATACAACAAATCACCTCTCATAAAGTGTAGTTAAAAATCACACAAAGTCAATACATTAAAAGGACAAGGATTTATTTGTTGTCATACAGACAGCTGGATACAGAGCAAATCAGAGCAGCATTCGGTTTTCATCCGTGTTTTCAGTGAGTGCCTCACAGTTTCACATTTTGAAGGGAAGTAGGAGAACGAAGAGGCAGTCAGAGAAAGAGGAGGAGGAGGGAGGACATAAGTGCTTAAAAAGGAGTCTGATTACCAGCATGACATTGACCCCATTAGTGTAGAGTAGAGAAGTTGGTGGTTTTACTCTGAACTGGCATTACAGCTGTGTGACAACAAGTGTCTTTGCAATGTCTGGAGGTAACTGAAGGGCACATATGGAGATGTTTACCAGTGTAGACTTAAAACAGACACAAAACATCACATTTCTTTAACAGACATGATCACAACTGTACTGACTTAAATATCAAACAATCAATGTTTTAAACATCAGTGTGAGTCGTCAATTGAGGCTAGCTGTTGTGTCAGAGCATTAAAAAAAGTGATTTCTGTGTTTAAAAGTCCAGTTTGAGGTAGGCTGATATGCAGTTTGGGGCCAGAAAACTGGAAACAGTCTCGCTTTGGCTCTTTTTATCCCCCAGTACTGCTATGTGGGGTCCCCAGCATCGGCTCAGTATATCTATGCGCTTCAGGCTCAGCAGGTCGAGCTGGCAGCAGGGTGAGGGGCTCCGAACATGTCCTGCGAGGCGTAGGTGATGTACAGGAAGCCGTCGGCGTCACAGTATTGGGAATAAACCTCCCCCATGCTGGAGGACATGCAGGTCATGCTCTTCTCTGCCACCAGGAGGAACAGAGCCTGTGTGGACTCCAGGGAAATCTTGTTCCTGCAAAAGAAAGATAGAGAGAAATTGATGAAGAAAACAACAACAGGAGAGAGGGAGGCAGGCGGAGAACAATGACACATCTGACAGCTCGTAGGAGAAAGTGGAGAGAAGGGAGGGTTGGATTGAGAAGAAACAGGCAAAAACAATTCAAGCTGTAGGTAGAGAAGTGAGAAGGAGGAAGTATGTTTATTCTACAAGCACACAGTGGCACAAAGCATTTACCTGAGCAGGCAGAGGAACTGACCCAAGGTGAGCTCGAAGGGAACCAGGAACTTTGTTTTGTCCAAAAGGGGGAGATTCTTTTCACGGACGTAACGTTCAACAATAACCTGAACACAAAAAACACATGAAATAAGCCAACTTTTCTGCCTTGACATGCAATATAAAGTTTAAAACTATGGTGATTAAATGAATTAGGTTTACATGCAACAAACTCACAGGTAATTTGTTGGGGAATTTGGACCGAATGCTGCATACTTCATCTTTTCTTGTTTCTAAAAAAGAATACGTGCATTAATTTATAGACACTTCAGCCTTGAGAGGGTTTACATGTAAATAACAAATTGAGACTCACCCAGGCATTTCCTTTGCTTGAAGGGCATCAGCAAATCCATGGATTTCTCAAAAGGTGCCATTTTTTCGTAGTTTCGTAGGGCGGTTTGCAGAAACCAGCGTTGAAGGTGGAGGCGACGAAAGTCTTTCCCAGGCTGACGTTGATGTCCCCTCAGGCGGAAGCTAGCAAACCCCACTGAGCTGCTACCAAAGCTGCTGTTTTATAGGAGAAGGAGCAGGGAGGGGTCCAACATGTGACACTAACAAACAAAGACACACTCCTCGTGCTGGTGGGCTGCAGATCACACATACTGGTTATCTCACCGGGCATTCTCACATGTACTGGTGATATTGGGTCCATAATCACACAGAGGG